GATAGATAGATAGATAGATCTTTAACAGACCAGACAGTGTTGCGTGGCGATGGAAAGTGGGTGTGACTTTTTCCTCCAGTGACAGTGTAGATCCATGCTGCATGCAGGCTCCACCTATCCCCCTGTGCCGAATATTCTGGAAAATCTCAAAGGACTTAGGATGTAGGAAACGATAATATAGCACCAGCGCTATCACTCCTGCAGAGAGAGAGAGGAACATGTAAATACACTTGAAATGGGGGCATGCATGAGTGTGTAAAAGTTTATAGATCTGAAATGACTCTACAGACTTAGAACTGCATTTGTACATATACTTCAAGTTTTTAACCAAATACCTGACACACTATGACATCAGCCTTAGCTGGACTTTCTGTTTTGTGCTAATGAGTAATTGTTTGCATGATAAACTAACATGGGTAACATTTTACCTGCTTAATGCTTAATGTTATGTTAATGTCAGCATGCTAACATGCTGACATTAACATTTAGCTCTAAGCACAAACTTTTGCTTTACAGTGTGTAGTTGTGTGTCTCACCAATGAGGAAGCTACAAAACACTGCAGCCGGGATTCCCACAGTATCCCAGGACACCATGGTAAACAACCATGAGGAGGCCAGAAGAAGTAAAGCATTCTCTAAGAACATGGCCTGAAGAAGAACAAATAGAAACAGAGGTTTGGTTACCTTTTTCCACATTTTGAAACAATATTTGTCTGTCTGTATAATGGATTCATTCAACTACCATATTATCTTAGAGATTACATTGAGAACTGTTGCATTATCAGCATCGCACATATGCTACTTGGTGGACACGTGTCCATGTTGCACTGCATCACAGGTGTACATTTTTGGTGTACCATTCAGTCAATTTCACTTTAAAACGTTCCTAAAATGCAAAATACAAACATGTTTTCAGTGCTTGTATTGGCTCATACTGTAGTTTCTGAAATTTAAATGCTGGGCTTGGTCTCCAATAAATCTCAAAGGTTAGACTGAATATCTTTTGCCTCATTACTTGTTATTTCATCCAATACAATATTTCTTTCTGTTTTTAGGGTCTAAAATGTTGTGTGTTTCTGTTTTTGTCAATGGCAATGCCCAAAAATTCTGGCACACAGACACACACACACACATACCAGGTAGAAGCCGAACATGCGGCATCTGGATTGACCGTACTTCACATTGAGGAAAAGGAAGATGTGAATGGCTCCCAGAACGAGGTTGAAGATTCTCCATCGAGTAGTTGAACGTATGATGTCAGTCTGCTGAGACACCATCCAGAAAGTTGCACCCAGCCAGTGCACACCTGACACACACACACACACAATTAAACACTTAACCTTTAATACATATGTAAATTCATGTCAGACAAAATTGTCATAAATAGTAGAGGAGGTCCTCACGAAGACTCACCCAACAGTAGTTTAAAACCACACAACTCACGTCTTTATCCAACAGAAAATGGGATCAGATTTAACTAATATGAGCTTTGAGATGAAGGCTTACCAATAACTCCCAGGATCCATTGTTTGAAGATACGTGTGAAGAGCATGAGAACGGCAAATCGAGATCCCAACATACTGACCTGCAGACAGAGAAAATAGAGCTGTCACACAAAAATCATTATACTGATACTGTTATGTTGAAGGTCTATGTTGTTCATATTGGTTGTTGGAAGGTTGTTTAAATAGGCCTACCCTCCACACCAGTCGACAGAGAATGGCAGCGGGGGTCATTTGTAGGTGTCCTGGTCTGATGAGTGAACAGGCTCTGGCATAAAGGACCAAGGCCCAGGCGAGAGACAACAAACACACCACAAAACACACTGAAGCTGGAAGAGAGAGAGAAGGAAGGAAAAGAAATGTGAACACTTTGATCATTGTAATGCCACAGGTATATACATACTGTACATCAGATACAGGGCAAGATAGTAGTAGAGGGATAGTAGAGAAACTAATTGGTATTTTTTGGCCACTTGGGGGCAGAGGATCAAGCTGAAAATTCCCTCCCATCGTTAAGGACCATGTCCACAGTCATGGACTCGCCCGTGTACTTATCAGTGGCAAGTGTCATGCTCCATTTTCGGAGAGTAACATTGAAGCAAGACTTACAAAAACTCCCTTTTGGCACTGCAAGGCAGTGTACTTACGCCTCAATGAAGCCAGATACTCCAACGCAGCATGGTAGTTCGCCACGTGTCACCCGTGCTGTTTTTTTGCTCGAGCCAGAGTCTTTTGCCCCAACACCTTTGCTGAGAGGAGGATAAGCAATGTCTCTGTAGCTGCCTTTAGGGGCATAGGGTTGATCATTACTCGCAGCTTTGTCACTGCCGCCGCCCACTGCGGCCACGCCATGTTCATATTAATTCTAGTTATTTTCGAATCTTTCGTTTTGTTTTGCCACGAGGGATGACACTAGCTTACTGTTTACATTCTTGATCATGTCATGGCCTGAAGAACAAACATCTACAACATAGCGCTAAATGTGTTTGCGACAACGACCTAAGAATTGCGTTTGTCCGATTATTACATTGTCAATAAGGCATGCATAAATGGGTATAAAAAGTCGATGTGTGGTGTAGATGTTATACAAAGGTATTATGGATTTTTGGAAATTGGAGTAACCAGCCAGATTGCAGGTCCCGTGATAACTTTAGAATGGTGTGATGGAATGACGCTAAGCTTTTGCTTAAAAAAGAAGCTCGCAACAGCGCACACAGTGTGATATCATTATTAAGCCGAGTTACCTTATCTTTCTTATTAAAAACAACACATATTTTAAACCGTGAATGTTTCCCGCTTCATGTGGAGTGATTAATACATGGAATTCATTATTAAACATTTGTATTTTATATATATGTCGTCTGCTTGATATGCTCGTCCATCTGTGTTACCATGCGCAGTTTGTAATGATCTTGTGTTGTGTGTAAAGGAATTGTTACATGTGTGGTTTTTTTATTTATTTTATTTGTCATACATTGTTAGTATATGTTGTATACTCTTTTTTGTTTTGAATAATGTTGTGTTGGTATTGGTGTTTTATTCTATGTTTTTTTTTTAGTTTTTCTGGATCAGTCATATATATTTCTACATCTCTGTAGTCTTCATGTTATGAGACTTGATCTCTTGTCATATATGTAAATGCCTTATAGTTCTTGCACAGGTCTCGCAGGTGGGTATTTTTGGTGTGTACGCAAGGCCTCAACACAGAGCGTAAGGCAGATGCATCGATCCTAGCGGCACGTATGAAGTCAGCCATTACACAGTGCCTGCATCTGGCAGGCGAGTGGATGACACGGCCACAGCCTGTGGAGGCAGACGGATGGATGTCACGGGAGCAACTGAGTGAGAGATATAGGTGGGAAACACAGGAAACCAGTACGATGACATTAATGTATCAGTATAACTGTTCTTGTACATTCACCGCACAGCACCAGTAAACATGCAC